TGTATTAAAATCTTGTAGTGTGACTCAGCCTTAAGAAGAATTGTTACAACAAAGAAATTATTAACCAAACATAAATTGCCTTACTTTTTGTGCCAAGTTCAGTTAAAGGCAAAATGCTAAACAAACATCTTACACAATCTGTCATCATACAGAAYGTGTTCAGGATAAGTCTCGGCTACTACTTCACCAAATTTTAGTTTACCTTTTTTTTTGATTGTTTCAGAATCCCKTAGTTGTGGCGGCCATCTTGAACTGGATTAACTTCAAAAGTTGATCRTTTACAGACGTTCASCCAGTGAGGACTTTTTGCATGGTTCATTTAAAACRTTAAACCCAATTTCTAACAAAACAGAACATTGACGTTAGCACCCTGCTGTGCTGCTGACGTTCATCTGCCTAACAAGATGATGGAATCATTATGTGCGCGTGTACGTGTGCGCTTGCATATGTATGTGTGTGCTGAAATCCAACCTGGGATCCCTGGACACACACATGCACAGGCCTCTCTCCTCCAATTCACCTCTATTACTAGCTATAATCCCATTTCACACTCTATCGATCCCCAAAACTGTTGTTCACCGGAACCAGCAGCAAACACCGGCATTTCTCCCCATCATTTCACCACTATTGTTCTTTATTACACAAATAAGCTGACCCCCCCACCCCCTTCATACACACCCTGCACCTACACCCCCTTCCTTAGAGCTAACACAACCCAGCTGAAATATGAATTATGAATGTATAGCTAATAAAAGAAAAAARGGGGGGAGGAAGAAAGAGCAAAAAGGGGAGAGAGTTAGGGATAGAGAGAAGTGGTTGGTGGAAACATCAGAGAAAATGACTCCTTTACAAGAGTCTATTGATCAGTTTCTATCAAAGGAGGATGTCAGACATGAGATTACCTGGCAGTTTGAGCATTAGGTGCCGTGTGTTATAGCCCCAGGCCCTTGTACCGCTGCCAGAGGATTGTAAATAAAGCGGAGAGGAGAGAGCAAGAGGGGAGTGTATCGGGGTGTAAGTGTGTGTGAGTTTAAGTCTGTGTGTGTGTGCGTGTTAGTCTTTGTGAGCGAATGTTGTGTGCATATTAGTGAGTTTTCTTCTTTTTTTTCATCTCGTGGTTATATTTGTGTGCATGACGGTGTGCGGCTGTGCGCCTGCACCTTTTGGCTTATACCCAAAAGCAGTGTTGCAAGCTTATGAAACTTCAGAAAGAAGGAGAAAGAGTCACGGGAGGCTTTGGGACGTCTCTCGGGAGCACCTCAGCCAACTACGAATCCCCCCAACAAAGCCAAAGGAAGCTCCCATGAAGCCTTATGAAGCTTTTATGAGGGCCTGGCAGGGCCCAGCCCAGTCCCAACCACTGATTCAAGGTTAGCGAGGTTTTCATCCTTCTCATGTTAAAGGTTAGCTGTGAGAGCAGGGTAATCTGACCGCAGATCTGTGATTATAGCCTGATGCTGTATGATGGGGCTTTGAAGTGCCTACGGAGGGAGAGATCGGCAGAGAGTTAGATCATGGACTAATATCACAGCGTTAGTTGTGAAGGCAGAATAAAAGGGTCAAGAAAGTGTTAGACTGGGGRACTGAAGATCTTAGAGTGTGGGCTACTGTCATAAGTTCACTCATGAAGGCAGTAAAATCAGGTTGTAAAAGACTCCAGACTGTCGAGCTTGGACTGCTGTTCATCTTTAGGATATTAAGAAGTGTTAAAATACACAATCTTCTGCAGATCCCATATTGATGGGGAAAATTTTGTCAGTATTGGTCATCGGCCTCTACCCCTTATTTAATCTATCTGTCCGAGGTTAGCACCCAGCCTTCAGATTGATTTAGGTCTTTTTTATCTTTTTTTTTTTTTGCTCATAGGCGAAACAGTGATAATGTTTTTGCCTGTGTCTCTGTGTGTGTATCTTTGTGAGAATTAATTTTGACAGTCTGCGATCCTTGTGAGTACATTTTACATTGTCCTCACAAGGGACCGTTGTGGGTCAGGGGTTAGGTTTAGGGTTATGGTATGAATTAAGTTTAGGATAGGGTTAGATTTAGGTATGTAGTGGGGTAGTTAGGTTTTTCACGCTTTCCTTTATCTTATTTATTTCAGATGTTCAGCACTTGTACAGCTGTAGCTGGTGTTGAAATGCTTTGCAAATACAGTTTGATGATGATGATGATATTAGGGTTAGACTATATAAATGACTGGTAAATAAATGGAAGTCGACAGAAATTTTACTAGAACTGCAAAACAAGTGTGTGTGTGTGTGTGTGTGTGTGTGTGTGTGTGTGTGTGTGTGTGTGTGTGTGTGTGTGTGTGTGTGTGTGT